GTGTATACACATGAGAATTTAGATACAAATGAAACTTTTTTTGTTTTGATACAAATTGATGTTGGTAGACGTATTTACATCAAGTAATAGATGTGATTGTCTGATCAAGCTCTATATAGTTGTAGTCTCGTAGCAATTATTTTTGTAGTCGTTGTTATCAATGTCCGAACAAATGATACTACGTCATTCCACAATGGGTTATTCAAGTTTATATGTTGATCAAGCTTCTTACAAATAAAAATGTTAAAATTGTTGAAATTTTGCGTAAATTAAAAAAAAGAGACATTATTGAAGGTACAGTGCACTTGGTATTATTTATCCGAATATTGCAATAATGACAGAAACAGTTACCATGAGGTCACAATTATACAATGCGTGAGCAGGTATCTCCATCTATCACTCAATGTAAAAAACCATCAATGTCGATTTGTCTCATTCATATTTGATCACTCTAGTATACCTATGTTATTATATTGTAAAATTTTATTATCGCTTTTGTTATTAATTTAGTCTTTTAATTTAATTAACTTTTTGCGAGAGATAATTGTATACCTGAACAAAGAATATGAAATGTTTGAACGATGTATTTAAATGCGCCTCTTCACCGAGCTGCACAACTTCACTAAAATGCTGATGATAAATGTGAGCATATACTCTGAATAACCGCTTCAGAATAGTTTTTGCAATAGATAAGAAATTCTTAGGGAAAGGAACTCCTGCAATATCAAGAAAATAATCGAGAATTAGTTTTCTGTTCATTGATGATGAAAGAGAAAGCACGTGAAGAAAATTATATAATCACCGATTTTGGATGGAAATAGAGTCTCGTCGTCCAATTGATCCTGCACCCAGGTCATTAAGTAGTCTATGTATTTGGGTGCTGAACATTTGATAGGCTTTTTCACTGTGTGACCATCGGCCCAGTGATATTCATATTTCGGTCCGGCTGACATGATTGGACAACTCTCCTCCGTACAGAATTCTGTGATGGTGCCGTACAACATGTTGATTTGATTGAAAAAATCAACAGCTAAAAGAAACAGACGTTTAGATCTGGTTGATATAAATGTAATAATGGAAATAAAAAAATTAATATTTTGACTTACTATTAACAGCGACCCATTCATTCAAATCCTCTCCTTCAGGAAGCATTACGGCCAATCGTAGATTACCGGAGCCTAATGTAGCAGCGGCATGTTTCATCAGGTCATATTGATGAGTACCCTCCGGGATGTTTTTCTTTGGTTTAAAAGTCTTGGAAGACCTACTCCCACTTAAAAGAGAAGAGAACAGACATTAAAAGATCATTATCTATAATTTCTGTTTCTTATTATAAAATTCGGAGTTTTAATATTTTAGTTCAATATTTACTATACAATTCTAATTGCATATCTTTACTTAGAAATCTGAACTATAAAGCAAGAAAAAAGATGTCATATAAATAAGTGATTTATTTAGATATATTGTAGATAAATCAACATCAATCAGCTGACTGTCAATGCCTATTAATAACACTTGTATTACTGATAAGATTAAAAAATAACAAACATTAAAGCGTTTAATTAAAATCTAGAGATGAATGTATATAATATGTGATTCTAAGAGTCCGTTATATATTATTTTAATTTTTTATAATTTTTTTCAATAATTTTACTTTCTGATTTATCAAAGATTGCATTTCTTTAATAATAATAAGAATAAATTCTTCATTCAACTGCACTCTTTTATACTCCTGAAATGTTTATATGAAACTCAAATGTTCAAATAAAGATATATATATCGTTTCTTTACTTCAAAAGCAATAACTAAAAAAAAATAAAATTTTTCAAAAAAGGGAAAAAAACTATTTTTCAACTTAACAGAAAATTATTGACTAATCAAATAATATCGGCAAAAAATATAACACCTCTTTTGATAAAAAGATAAAAAATATTTTTCCTTTTTTGTTCAGTTTTTAGTCTGCCAATTTTAGATCTTATTAATAACAAGTCGGCAGTTAACTCTGATTGCCATTAATTTATCCGTAATAATAAATCTAGTATTTATACGACATCTTTCTTCTTGTACATACTTCTTAATATACTTAATCGCAAGTTTGTGCAATATAAAAATTAAACAATATTAAAATTAGACCAATAATTCCTCCCTCGAATTAAATAAGATTGACTTAAGTTGCTTTCCTTTTACGAAATAGTTGATATAAACGTCATTCCATTCCTTTTAGCATTCAATGAATAACAAAGATAAAGTACTTGTATCGATTGTCTCCTAAAAGGAAAGCAGCCTTATTGTCCTGAGATAAGAGCAACACGTAAATGTATTATATATTCTTACGTTTAAAATAAATCTTTACCCGATATTATAACGCATGATGCCACAGTATTTGAGGCGAAATCAATGTGCTAAATAATTTCATTCTAGTTTTAAAAATTCTTTATTTAAGAATAAAATATACATTTTTTTCTCAATAATAAATATCGTTCCTACATTGTTCCTACATCGATTCTATTTTATTAATATAAATCGAAGAATAAATAGCATTGGATCCAGAAATTTTTTTTCTATAATAAGTATAACCTTCATTTTTGTCATTTTCGTTTTATAACTTAAAAAAAAATTATCTTTTTTGAATTGTGATGATTTTGGTATCTTACAAAATTATAACAAATCCAAAATATTTCATCAAAAGTGACTCAATATCATTAACAATTTATTCAGTTTATCTTTTTTCTTTCAGTTATCTTTTAATCATTTTATTTATCTTCATAAACTAAAATAACAATTCAAAATAGAACAATTTCTTTTTCAAACTGTATTAATTCTAAATGTTCTCTACAAAAGATTTTTATTTATAAAAATGACACAATTCAAAATGTGTTACTCTGATAGAAGATATTAGACTTATGTAAATAATGACATTTTCTTGTATTATTATTAAGAGCAGTTGTAACTTCATTAAAAAATGAACAAAATTTAAATTTAAAAAAGAATTTTAAAGCTTAAAAACTTTACTTTCAAAAACTCATTATATTTTTTGAGTTTGTGTGAATTTGGTAATTTTTACATATACAAAACTATCAGCTAAAAAAAATGAAAAACTTTCTTCTCATTTTGTAGACCTGTCATGTATCTCAAAAAAATTGGGAAAATTTTTTACTATCTATCATAAAAATTGAAATTTTTCTAACAAAATCATTTTTTAATGTTTCTATGATTTTTTGTTCCCGAGTTACTCGCGGATTAAGTAAAAGGAGCATTTTAATTTTGGTTGCTCATAATTCCATTAAAAATCATATCGCAATAAAAAAATATATTTTTAAAGCAAAACTTTGCTCCATCAAATAGTATAATCGCATCGCTAACTTTTTGAAAATATAGTAGAATATCGAAAAATATATATCGAAAAAGGAAAATTATCATTTTGCAATACGGAAAACCAACATTTTACTTATTTAACCTATCAATATTATTTCTTCGAAAATTTTAAAAATGATACAAGTGCTATTTAATGGACAGACTATGAAGTTAAATTACTTTTGACGATCAAGAAAGTAATTTTCACCTAACTCATTTATGGTAAAAAAAAAATTAATCATTCTTTTAGTTGTATCACTTTTGGAATAAAAGAATTATGTAAAAATATGTACAAAAATAATTTTTCATTAAACCTCTTATTGGATATAATAGTTTCCTACATTCGGCAAATCTTTTCCTCTTTTCTCTCTCTCCAAAAACCTGCTTACACTTATACAATGAACAACAAGAAGCAGGTAGAAAAGTGCAAACGTTATCTCCTTTCCTCTCCCCTTCTCTCTCTTTTTCTCTCCCTCTTTATCTATATCTCTACAGTCTGTAGTGTCTACACTTTCTCTGGTCAAGCTTTTTTTTCTAGACAAAAAAAAATCTAAATATATTTTCCTTTACAAACGCAAAAAACGTAAAGAAGTTACAGCTTGAAAAAAAGGAACCCTGCTTGATCGCAACGCTCAGCTGATCGTGATCACGCGCATGCAAAAAGCGACTGTTATTTATCACGAATGCTAAAGTGACTCCGAGAACGTCGAAATCGTGACACTCTCGATGACGAGGAGCACAAGGCGCGGCCACCGAGACGGATGATTCATAGATTACGTGCCGCGTTGAGCGATAATCCTGACGTTCGAGGAACATTGTAGGTCCCGCGGGAAGACGCGCCAAGGGAAAAGTCTTCCGCACGATAGGCGCGCTATTTTTATTCTCGATCGATTTACCGGTAGACAGCATCAAAATTGATCTCATCCTCGTCAACTTTGTCATGGAGAACAATAAATTTGACTGTTAAGATTATATATGAAAAAAAAAAGAGAGAAAAGGAAGACATCCTGGAATAGAATAAGAAACAAAGATTAGCGGAATTTTTCCTAAAGAAAAATAAAAACAAATCATCAGCTGTCACAAAAGGAGGTGAACAAAATCAGGATTTCTCCTGTGGCTTCGTTCTGCCTCGTCCTTGTAGAAAGTATGAGGACGTATCGATCGGAGAACGGTGATTTAATTCGACTCGACCTGACTCGACGGCGATGATCGGAGAGGAGAAAGTCGCGGAGGCGAAGAAGAGGAGACTCACAATAGAAAACTCATCGTGACAGGCTCGTCGTAGCTGTGGCCGAGTCGCTCCGCTCGTTGGGTCCGCTCTCGCCCGTTCCGCTCAGTCGCGTGGTCCACTCAGGTCCGCTGTATGCGTCCTTGCTCAACTAGACGCGTAACGAGACAAGTGGACGACAACGGAATGCGATTATCACGATGACGATGACGATGACAACAACGACGACGACGAGAACGTGCCAGCCAGCCGGCCGCCACACTCGCGAGTCGCGGGTGCGATCGCCTCCTCACAATGCTACTCGCTCTCCTTGTCCTGTAAACGCTACTATACCGGGGAGACGAATTGCCGTCCACACAACCCAAGCCACTCGCTGCGTCGTCGTCAGTCCACTAAATTGTCCGGTTTCTCTCGTACTATTCTCTTCTCCCTTCCTTAGTTCCTTTCTCTCTATTTCAAACTGCGGGACGTTGCACGATCAATCTGGCAAGAATCACGGCAGTGTGGTGGAACTCGTTACGTTGGCTACAGTGGGTGCATTCAATGGCTGCGTTCAGAGGATTCAACAGTGAGCGTTCACTGTTATTGATGTATTCTTTCAGATGTAAAATACTGATTGGATGATCTAAAAGAATACACCAATAACAGCGTGCGCTCGCTCAACTGCTGAGTCCGCTGAACGCAGCTATTGGTGTATTCTTTTAAAGTGAAAGAGCGACAGTTTTAAGCGTTGTTTAAAATCGAAGTAACATTGATGCAACTGGGCCTAACGAATATAAATCAAGTGATATAACTTATAAATTGCAGAAATTTATTTTACAATGTAGTATTTTCTTTTAAGAAAACACTTTGCTGACATATGACTCTGTTACATTCATGTGTAACGATCTATTTTTAGTATATAAGACTATTACCAGTTTCTAGTAAAGCGAAAGAAATTTTCAATTAATAGGGTATTTTTTATTTATTCATAAAAATAAACAATTTTATAATCTAACCTTAAAAGATAGTTTGCAGCTCTATAGTGTTCGGAATTAATTCTTGGCATTCGGATTGCTCGAAGATCACGTGATCAAGCTCGTCATCTGCTAGCTCGCATCTCAGATTTACATTGCCGAACGCACCTAATAGGGAGCTTTTGAAATACTGTATTCCGATATGATAAACGCTAAAATACGTGATTTAGTGGAAACTGCACATGCGCAGTTCGACTTTCCATCAAATAACGAGATTTTAGCGTTTAGGATCCACTTTACAAAACGCCGATTAGTCCATTGGAATTGACCAATCGCATCTGCCGTTAAACGAAATGATAAATGCGATTGGTCGATTAAGCTAATCGGCGTTTCGTAAAGTGATCCTGAGCGGTTGTGGTTCTGAGCTGCGTTCCAAAACTCAATTCTGTCAAATCAAATATCCATTCTATCCTTGTTGTTCACCGAACGTTGAATAAGAATAAAAGATACTCAGAGTTGATGGAAGTCGAGTTTTGGAACGCATTTCTAGAAATGGTTTGCATTGATTGTTTTGCCGAACGCGTCGTCATCGTCCGCCATTTTGTTCACGAATCTTCGGTTTCGTACTTACAGGTATTTCTATTGACTTCTACTTTGATTGTGTCGATCGTTTTTATGTAGTATTCAGCGAACGATTTCAAGGATAATATTGTGAAAATTCGAGCAGATTTCTCTAATTAGTTGTTACCTAACTTTGTGCTCGAGAACGGGAAGAGCAGTATTTTAATACCCCAGGTGATCGTAAGTTGAGCGAGTCGGTGTCTTGAATCTTTCGAACGCCATTACTTCTCCCAACAGTCGTGATGGCACTCTTCCTCGCGATGTTTCGTCAAATATCTGTGCGTCTATCAGGTCTATTTTTTTCTATAACTGAACTAGTACTTATGTTTGGAACTTATAAGTAAAGTTGGTATATATTTGATATTTAACTAAAACAATTTACTGCAGGAATAAAAAATTGATCTGAAGTATAACGCCGTTACAACACCCAAAGTTTGGTGTCAGTTAAATTTTTCATAACTCGCGTGTATTTTCACTTGTAAGTTGATTAAAAGTTAACGCCGTAGTCTAGCGAACGATTATTTTCGGAAATTATTCGCTTCTATTTTCTCTTTTAATCTTATCGTGTTCTTTTCATCGATTTATCTGTCAATATTCAGCCTATAAAAACGACGGAAATTGTTGATATATCCTGGTTTTTGTTTTTCTTCTCTCTTTTTTTTGTTATTGTTTTGTGATTGGTATATGTTTTTTGCAAAACAATTTCCAAGATGTTTTAAATGTGAAAAGTGTATTACATATTTCAACATGTAATGTGAATCTAATTTGAAAGAATTGTGAAATTGCTAGTATTCAAGTATTATTATTAAGTCTTATGTACTCGAGTATCAAGTAGTAGTTTAGTATCAAGTATATTTAAGTCAATAGCGTATTAAAGTCATCACATACTGATCTCAGTCAGTGTATTAAAATAAAATGCAACTTTGAATTAATAAATTTGGAAAAATGTGAGTGCATTCAGTATTACAGACTGAGCACTTGATGAGTAAGACAGAAATTAATATGTTTATTATAATATTCATAATATAGAATAACTTATCTATTATAGAAATGTTATACAATCTTTAATATTATATTTTTGACTTATTACTATTATTTTTCTAAGGTAAGCGTTATGAGTGCAATTTTGTGTCACTCATATTGCTCAATGAGTACTCATGGCCTTAAGAATTAATAAACAGCAATTAGTAAGTAAGAAATATAATATTAAATATTATCTAACAGATAAGGTAATATAAATTACTCTAGATTACGAATATTACAATAAATAAACATATTTTTTCGTTTCTTACTCACTAAGCGTTCATTAAACAGTCTGTAATATTGAATGTATTTAAAATATATATTACATATTTTACCAAATAGCACAATAAAGTATTGAGGATTTCAGTAATCTGCTTTTATGTTTATATTAAGTATACATCACTTGTGTATAAGGACTTTAATGTACACTGAGTGTGCATTAGTGTCCAATTGAATTCTCTATTATAATTTTTCTGTACAATTACATTCACTTTCAATTCATGAATCAAGAATATAATATTATTTGAAATATTCAACTTTAATCGATTCTAAGGTGTTCTCTATTATATTATGTTGTTTCATTCATTTTGTTGTGCTAAATTGATTGTAAAATATTTTATCTTTGGTTGCAGATATTATTTATAAGGGGAGATTGCATTGCATTAATAAGGAGAGATTTCATTGTATTAATAAGGAGAGATTTCATTGTATTAATAAGGAGAGATTTCATTGTATTAATAAGGAGAGATTGCATTGGATTAATAAGGAGAGATTGTATTACACCATGTCGAGTGGTAGTGGAGATCATGAGGAAGAGGGATATGTTGTTAAGGTGCGTGGATTACCATGGTCCACCACTGTGGATGAGATTATGAAATTCTTTGGCGACTGTTCTATTTCAAATGGCAAGAACGGAGTTCACATGACCACATCCCGTGAGGGACGCCCTAGCGGCGAAGCCTACGTGGAAATGGATACTCCAGAAGATATTGAGAAGGCTTGCAAAAGAGACAGAGATCACATGGGCCATCGTTATATCGAAGGTTAATTTACTTTTATGAATTTTTTTAACATGTAATGGTTGTATTTAACAAAAAAAGTAGTTTTCAATTATTGTAAGAGTCCTTAATGTGATTAATTTTACTTTCACTTCCTCACTAGACCTAAATGTATAATGTTGTTGTTTCAGTTTTTAAAGCAAAACGCGGCGAAATGGAATGGGTTGTGAAGAGGAGCGGTCTTAATTTGGAGAACGCGATGGATGATGGTTGCGTGAGATTGCGCGGCCTGCCGTTTGGTTGTTCAAAAGAGGAAATTGCACAATTCTTCTCAGGTACTTAACATATAACAATCAAAATATTCAGTATCAATGCTTTTTAATTGATATCAAATGTCATTGAGATTTTATTTAATCCTTGGAAAACAGACACCTATTCATCTTTTTCAAATATGTAGCTTTTTTATATTTTTATACTTCCTTTTTCATAAGATAAAAATGAATAAATGAAATTCAACAATTTGTCTCAGGAACGCAGCGACGGAATACTTTCGATGGCTTTAATATAAATTACTAAAATTACTATTTTGTATCGATGAGTTTTGTAACAAGCAAGCTGTAACAATTGCTTTCTAACAATATTAGATGCTTATTCTAAAACTAGCTACTAAAAGTAATGAGATAATGGCTCAAACGCACCTATCGAAATTAAATTCCATCTGAAGAATGATGTCTCTGTGTTCTGATATCGACGATTAGCCTTAGTTAAGATTTAAGATTTCGCTGAGATCTGAGTTGTGCTATACGAATGTGTCGCAGATTTATGATTTTTATAATTTGTATGAATGGAACGAAAATATTTTCATTGCACGACTTAGTGATCGAGCTTAATTCTTAACTTTGGTTTTCGGACGTGGCAATTTAATGTCTTATATCTGTATAAGGAGAATCACGAAGAGAAAGAAGAAAGAAAAAGAATGCGCACGTATGTGCGCAATTTTAGAGTCCTTAAAAGTTTTACTTCTTTTATAAGGGTTTTAATAAACTTGACCATAACTTCTTTTTCCTAATGGGTGCCTATAAGCTACAATATCGATGTTTGATTATGTGTGGGTCAGGGTTGGAGATTCTTCCGAACGGGATATCACTACCGACAGACTACACGGGCCGCAGTACTGGGGAGGCTTACGTTCAATTTGTTAACAAAGATGTTGCGGAGCGCGCTCTGCAGAAACACAAGGAAAAGATAGGACACAGGTGGGGCACTGAGACGGTATAGCTGGGTTTGGGTATACTTATGACTTTTCCATATCATTTATATTAATGATCGTAGTACATGTAGGTATATACATTTCGTTTAGTAAATAGTGGGAACGAATTCTACGATACGGATGCAGCTTCTTTATCTTTCTCTGAGAAGGATTTTCCACGCAAGAACGAAAATGGAAGAATCATTGTATTTGTACTATTATTAAGCTCTATTCAGTATATGTGTATTTGCACGTTTTGAAAATTTTGAACAGAAGCTAGTTTGAGAAAATTCCATATCTTGCCGTGTCGAGATGAATAATTTAAGTCTTTTAAAGTTATAAATAAATGAATTTTTTTTTATGTCGAAAGAGGATCACCTCTAGAAAATTTTTCTTATTTGACATAAAGAAACTGCCTCTCTCAAAACACAATTACAACCAAATAGTCGTACGTAAGCGAAAGTACTGTGGACCCAACTACTTATATTTATGGGTGGGTGTTGGGGGGCGGGAGATAGCCCCTTACCATCATCACCAAATTCCATGGGAGGTGGGTAGGGCACGCCAAAGCTCGGTAGGTGCTACAGAGAGAAAGAGAGGGAGAGAGGTGGAGAGATAATAACCATCGATCCAATACGACAACGTCTAGGCGACACCCATAATTGCATTTTTTGCAGATGAACGTTAAACTTCAAGATTAAACTGTCTTGTAAACTCAAGATCAAATCGTCTTGTAAATTTTAAAATAAAAAAACTGTTTAGTAAACTTCAAACCGCTTTATTATTACACTAGGACATTTTTTTATGTCAGCGTATGTTAAATAAATTGATAATCTACGTCAATCGAAATGTTCATCTGCAAAAGGGTGCAATCGTGAGCGTAGCTTACCCGAAGATCGTCAGCGTCGCATGGGCTTGTGGGGTACGTGTGACGTAGATACGTCGGGAAGGAATTTCATCGTGGGAGGGTCTCTTCGCAGGTTTAATAAAAAATTGCGGAGGTTTAGTATGAATATAATTGTTCTCTGTCATACTTGTAAACTCAACTTCAATGCCAAACTGCCAGACAAGTTTCCTCCTTTTTTTTCTTTTTATTATAAATATCAGATAGTAAATAATTAATCTCTCGCTGTGCAGGAATGGCTCCTCTTTACACCTTTTCTGTTTCTATAAAGTTAATGTATATCACTGTTTTTGTTTTTTTTTGTCTCTCACCATTTGTGATATCTCAAATTAAATCCGTATCGTTAAGTTTTGTCGAATTTTCAATTTGGTG